GAGTATCTCTTTTGGGTCTTATTCTCCACAGTTCATAAAATCCTGAAAAGCCCAGTCATCAACACTGTCACTTTATACACGCACAGACAAGATTAAAGTGTGACTACTAAATCCTAGTAAGGTCTACAGAATATTCAGCTTTGGTCTGACAGTGAGTTAAGAGTGAGAAGTCTTCAACTTTTGCTTGAATAACACAATAAAATGTTGGTGATAACAAGGAAGGCCCTCTGTACAGTGCATTACATTAGTAAGCATGTCACTGAAATAACCTGAACTTTGGAGCCACTAAAATGCAGTGCTTAAAGGGCATATAAGACAGCCACAGTAACTTTAATTCCTACATATGAGCTGTGAGGGAGTGCAGATGATTGTGGAGACCCTATGAAGTGGAGGCTTCAATATGAGCGAGCCACAAAGGAAAGTGCAGGCAGACAAAACAAAAAGGACTTCAAATTTTAACTAGTGGCACTGTTAACAGGCTGTGGAATGTGTCCTTTCTTATACTGTTTGAAGCTTTATCAACTCTTTCCTGCGAGATCTATACAACTGCAATTCAGTTAGTTTTGTCTGTTCACAATTTTGCTTTTATCTGAGATTCAATTTCTCAATTCACTAACTTGTATACAGTAAGAAATTTAGTACATTCACAACTTCACTATTACGCGTACTTTTTTATTACACATACTTACACTTTCTGTAAATACAGAGGTGGACCATCACTCAAACAAGTTTTCTTCCCAGTCATTTTTCCATTATAGCAGCTTTGCCAAAGTAATGCAAGACTACATGTTCAGCAGCATAGTGAAAGGTCTATATACTTGAAGGAGGGGAATACAGAAAGACCTTCTGAAAGCTAAGGGACTGATCTTAAAATGGCAAAACACTAAAAGTATCACAAATACAGCAATATACTCAAAGTCTCTGAAATAAAATGAACCAAGTTATGGGACATTCTTCAAGACTCAGGAGAAAGGCTTAAAAACCTTGACAGACCTTGAGCTCCAACTTTCTGGGAGTCAGCAACCTCAAAAACATGTAACAGAAAATAGAGTATCACCACAGTTCCATGAACAAGACAGAGTCTGAAATTTATAAAACAATAATTCTGTTTTTCATGATAAAAATCCACACTCCTCTTTCATTCCTTGTTCATCAAATAGCTTTCCTACCCAGCTTTTTGGCAGCCAGACACATTACAAGAAACACTGTTTTTATATACAAACTGCTCTATATTTCCCAAGAAATCATCCTTCCAGAGTTAAAGAAGCAAAGGGCAAAAATGAAAGACTCAGGTTCCACAAAATTAACATTCATTAATAGTAGGATCTTGATGAGTTCAGTACAAATATATCAAGAATTTGACTAGTGAATCTTGGGCTAAAGAGACAGAACAATAACAAGGTTTCAACTTCATTTTTTTCCCTGGTAGAGTATGTGTTCAGAAGGACCCCAGGCTCACGCAGCAATACACCACATTTGGTACTGCTGCAAGCTGGAACAGCTATTTTACAACAGAATAATGGTAATTTTCCCAGACTAATCATTCACATCAATTCTTACTCCAGAAACTAGAAATATACTCCAGAAACTAGAAACATGTTCATTCAGATCATGTTCAGAATAATTGAGGGAGAACACCTGAGTAATATTAAAAAAAAAAAAAAAGAGGGGGAGGAGGTTAAGAATTTTCTTCTTCTTTCTTTCTATTACAATGTAATAGATATAATCTTTTCTAGGAATGTCAGAGACTTTTAAATTTTTTATTTCATTCATTACAGTAGAAAGTATTTTTTCATGGACTTCTCTCTTATGTCCAGCAGAGGGTAGTAAACAGCTTTGCAAACTGAGAAACTTCATCCTAAGTGCACATGAAGAGGCAGCAAATAGCAAAAAATTAAAGGATGACCTTTTAATTGGAACAACCCTACTCTCCACACAAACCTCCCTAAGATTATCAATGTCATAAAAAAACTAAAGTACACATTTCCTATTTAATGCCTACTTATATAATAAGGTAGCCTGCTAAGTATTTAAATAGTGGTAACTTCTGAGACTGTTTTCCAATTTAAGGAGAATTTTAAAAAAGCAATCCATAACATGAAGAAAGATAAACAAATACAGGACTACTACATGAAAAAAAAATTGTTTTCTGTTTGAGGTGTACTACTTTAAGGCCTCTGAATGGAAATCCACCTCAAATATCAACATTACAGGTAAAAATAACATCAATAATTTAATCACAGCTTTAAATACAGACTGATTATCAGAACATTAACAGAAATACCTGTATTTCTAATAGGCAGTACTTATTCCCACAGAGTGAGGAGTTTAAAATTGACACAGAACCATGTGAGAGTATTACAGAACTGTACAGAAACTGCAACATATTGGCATGTAGTGAGAACTACTGCTCAGACTTTACTGCCCTTCTTTAATGCTTCTTCCACAATACACAGGAAGAAAGTGGCAACTGAGAATATGATGTACAGAAGCGATCATGCTACCAAGGCAGCTGCTTATGGCAGAGAGGAAGAAATTCTATACATAGCAATGAGCTTAAATTTCAACAATCTCCAGGCTTCACAGAAGCACCTAAGGCTATGTGGGAATGCAGCATGCCCTTTTAACAGGGTATGGCCCCTTCCTTCCACCAATTAGGAGGGAACCCGGTGCTCACTTCCCCCTCCTTTATCCAACAGATCTGAGCTTGAATACCTCTGCATTACTTCCTTCACAATTTCCAAGGAGAAAGCTCCAGTAGCCACACTAAGTTGAAGATGAGCATACCTGGTCTTTTTTGTTGAGGTCCCTCCACTCTGCTTCTTCAGGAAGGAAAGAAAATATCTCTAACTGATTGAGTTCCAGAATGCAAGAGAATAAGTAGAAAGACAAATGTATAAATCAAAGAAAGGCTTTGAACAAGAAAGGCTGCAATTCAGACTTCAAGCTCTCTTAATACTAAACTGCTTCCCGGTATGCTTAATTTTTTGAGGACAGGATCATGGCTGACACACCAACTTAAAATAGGTTTTATCAATCAGATAATCAGTCAATTCAGAAATTTTGAATTGGTAGCCTTTCATAATCACAGAACAGGCAGAACAAACTGTTCAACAAACAGGGATGCAGGTATTTTGTACAGCATAGATAATGTTGCTGTCACAAACCCTAGAGCGTGAGTCCACCACCCAGTGTGATGTCTCCAGGTAGCAATAAGCTAAATAAGATAACCAATAAATGGGAAACATCTAGTGCTTCTACTTCTCAAAGCACAAAGGTGCTTTGTTTTTTTTCCCAGAGATTCCTATTAACCTAATTTTAATGGTAGGTCCTTTCTCACATCTACACATTTGAAATTTACTTTTATGATGGTGAGATGCAAGCAGACCAGAGCATATGCACTGCAGTTTAATTTACTTTTCACTATTTTTATACAGACGAACTTGTAGTCATTTGCTTAAACCTCCTATGCAAGGACATTTATCACCTACCTTCCTCATCGTTGCTTAAACAACTACACTTGGAAATACCACAAGAATACTTTCTCTGTAGTGTAGATTGTTTTCTCACTAGATTAAAGGGATCGATACATTGATTCTAATAAAACTTAAGCCATAATTAAGTTATCTTAGTTGATTTTGGCTACTATATAGCATTCCATAATAAAACCACCTCCAGCACACGGTTAAATATCTGAGGAACTGAGCGCATCCTTTATAAATTTACAGATGGTAAATACACCCAATTAAATTACTTAAAGAGAGAAACCACTGCCTGCCTTATTCTTCCTTTCAGCTCATGATTTCTATGTTAATATTTTATGTCCTGGAGTTACACAAAAAAACAGCCCTCATGAAAGCCCGCTGAAGCAAAAATCTTTGTTTTAAAAGGCCTATTCAAATTTCGTAGTACTTTCCTACCTGAAGGCAATTCTGTCCAGGCCAATATATGCACCTTGCAGTACCTAACAATAGATTTCCTATAGATCTCTGAGGCTACAAATGTCCACTTCATTCATCAATAATCAGTGCTTTTAGTTGACGAGCTCTGATGTTCCCTGCAGTAATTTTCTTTCGTACTTCACATTTACTGCAGTGTTCTAACTTTCTAGCAACCAATTCTCTAAACATTTTCCTTGCTTTTAAGGAGAAAAACAAGAAAGAACAAACTAATGATGTACAGCTAAAAAATGTACATTACATTATTCTTAAGGACTCCTAATGTTCCAGCAGTGCCAATTTTCTGAACTTAGTCACAGAAAACGTCTAAAACTATCTCTGGTAGGAAACTTACATCATAAAGAGACATCTGGTTTCTATACTTTTTACCAGTGACAAATCCTTTGTCATGAATCTCTTGGTTCAGATCACACGTTCAGATAGCAGTTACTATAGTAACTTAGATGAACAAAATTATGAAACTTTGGAGAAAATTGCAAATAGCATTTTAGTAAAAGAAATTCATTTAGAAGACACTAGTTGGAAAAGCTTGAGACTTCTCAGTAACAGATATCACTCAACACACAAACTAAAACTGCCATTAGCATTTAGGCATAGATAGGAGTGCTGTAAAGCATCACTGCTGGTATGTTATTCTCTCTGCCTCGTACACCATCTGGCACCTTTCTCAGCTCTAGTATATTTTCCATTTCAAGTTTACTTATTCTAAAAACTTGTGCAAAAAAAAATAAGAAACCCTAAGCAAAAAAGAACAGGATTTAAAAACAAAAAAGACATTACATGGTTAGAGAGAATGCAAAGAAAAGAAAGGTTTCCTGATCTCAGCCTTGTTTTCATGCTGTTCTAACACCAGTCTCAAGTGAGAAACACACAGTAAGTGACATTGGTCTATTCAGCTGCTCTGCAAAAAGGATGTTCAACATTCTGTCAATTCTGTAAACAGAACTCAGCACAAAACTGAGAGGTTTCATCCCACAATAACAAAAGTGCTCAGAGCTTCAGTGTTTCTTGAGAGGAATAGTGGTAAACAAAAAGTATTACTTCGAGTTCTTTTTTAAGCTGCTCCTCTTGTTCAGCACTGTGTTCAAGCTTGTGTACATGACGAGTGAGCATCTCTGAACAGTCACGATGTTCCAGCTCCATATCTTTCACCTTCTTACTCAAGTTTTGCAGAGCGCTATTCTGATTCTAAATAAAAAAAAAAGAAAAAAAAAGAGAGAATAAAATAATACTTTTATTAAAGTCTTATAATAATAATGCAGAGCTTAAAAAAGGAACACTCTGGGGACAGAGAATGAATTACCATTTATTAAAATCCAACCTGTCAACTGAGCCACCTGCTCAAGAGCATGCAAGTTCTTCATTCACCACCAGGCAAAATGCACTGGTTCAAAAATCAGCATAAATATGACCTTCTGCACTTACAGTAAAAACAGAGACAATTCCCCACAGGAAACTTTAAAGGGCTACTCTTCCAAACTCTTCTACCATCCTACCAAATGTCAGTGATGGAAGGAAAGCATGCAATTGCACTGGACAAAAGGATACATAGGGACAGGAAGTTTGATTTTGCTTTGGTTTTATTAATAGAACTTGAAATCAAATCAGTCTTTTTAAAATTGGTTACTTCCATAAACTTAAAATGTTCATTTTTGCTAATCTTAGAAAGACATTTGTCCAGAAATTGAATTACTTTAAACAATTATGTATGGAATCTACAGAGTATCTCCCAATAAAGATGCTGCTCCCCATTCCAGTTTCTGCATTCAGAAAATGAGAGAAGGTATGGAGTGGGATAATTAATATCACTGCTGGACTACACAACTCCATGGAGTCACTGCTACCTAATTCACTTCTACAACACAGCTAGCTGGGAGAAAAGTAGCCAAATAATGAACTCCTAGTAGTCTAACACATACTTAAGCTGGAGATCACAGAAATCTCAGAATTACTAGCTTTAGTCTAGTGGACAGGAATAAGCTTTCTCATAACCAGGATCAGGAAGAAGCTATAAATCCAGCGATTTAGTTGGAAACCTTCAGAGACCTAATTTGTTAAAATGGCTTTCTGTGCAAAACACAGAAAGATTCCATTAAGTCCTCTTGCTCATTTAATCCTATTCAATATCTTGCCAAGAGACATTTTGTGAAAATAAACTAGAGGTATTCAGTTGGTCTGCACACTCTGCTATTATTTCTACATCACTTTTCTTGTTCCTAAAAATTACTAATCATAAATCCTAGCATGGAGAAAGAGAAGGACAAAGTGAATTATTCATATAGAATGATTTTTTTGAAGAACCAAGTCTGATGGAACCACATTTACACCTGAAGACCAAACAAATACAAGCTGTTTCCAAAGTCTAGAAATGGATTTTGGGTGTTCCTCTGAATTGAAGGTAGAAAGTTTTCATCATTCAAACATGACAGTAAGGAAATCAGGGCCACTCTAGCATGCTAAGTATTACAAACTGCTAATTATAAAGTAAGTTTATTTTGCCTCTTCGTTCATGTGCAGGCCACTATCGTTTGACTTTCTTTGCATCCCCTGAGAAGATAACAAGGAACATCTGTGTAAAACATGAATTAAGAATGGAAACCTACAGTAAATACAATGCTGCAAATAACAGCCCTGGAAACAAATTAAACTAATCCTCTAATGTCTCCTCCCACCTGCATCAGGCTTCCCACTGCAGAGCAAAAAAGAAAAGTTTAATACACAATTACTCATACTCTCTCCACACTTAAATATCTGTATCTCTTCAGTGCACCTTCCAGATGTTAACAAAAATAAGCCAGGAAAAGTATGTATTAAATAAGTAATATATCATTTATATGTAGGGGAAAAATACTGTGTCAAGATTTAAAAATATTTCATACTGGAAATGTAGCTGACATTAATCAGTCTACAACTAAGAGGAATACATCAAGCTAGCTATACAAGTCAGTATGAGTTGTAGGATGTCATAACCTTAAAAAACGTTTTGGAGATTTTTTGACTTCTCCTAAGTATGAAACTGTACTACGTTAGCCCAATAGTCACCTGCCCTCATCAACTACAAGGAGAAATATTTGACTATGTAAAACATATACACATATGCTCATATAGCATATGCACACACATATAAACATCGCTTACTTTTTAATGTGTGTATAAACAATGCGATCACACAAGTAATTTAAGAAAAAACTGGAGTGTTTCTGGGAAATAATACTATCTTCTGGCTAACCACAAGGTGATGCTATTGCACTTATTATTAAACTCCAAATTTTTCTTACCTTATGAAGCAGATGGGCTGTAAAGTATAATCAATAGACACACTGAAGAGCCTGTTACAGATCAGACAGGATTACTTTCCCTCCAGTCAGTGTAAGCTTCATGAATTTCAGCAAAGCTTTTGATACTGCATCTCACAGTATTCTTCAGGACAAAATATCTAGCATACAGCTAAAGATAAATGTAATCCATGGCTGAACAAGCAGTTGACATGTCAGGCTCACAGTTATAGTGAATGGGTGGTGGGCTTCAAGCTGGTGGCCAGTAACTAGTGGGGTTCTGCAGGGCTCCATTTTGAGGTCAGTTCTCTTAGATGTCTTCTTAAATGACTTGGACACACGAGCTAAAGGCATATTATGCTAAGTAAGCTAGTGAATACTCTAGATTAGGAGGGAATGCTGACTCTCTTGAGACTAGAAAGGCCTTGCAGAGAGATCTTGACAACTTTGAAGTCTAACAATCACCAATCACGTGGAATCCAACAAGACTCTGCATATGGAATAAGATAACCCTGAATTTATGTACAGTAGGTAACAAGAAGTTGGGGAGCAGCTCCATGGGAAGGGATCTGGGGGCTCAGGTTGACAGCAAGTTGAAGATGAGTCAGCAGAGATCCCTGGCAGCCATTCCTGGACTCCAGAGTGCATCATACCCAGCACTGTCAGCTGACTGAGGGAAGAGACTTCTCTGCGCTGGTGCAGCCTCATCTCAAGCACTGAGTGCAGTTTATAGAGCAGCACAACATAAGAAGGACATTAAGCTCTCAGAGAGTATCTAAAGGAAGGCAACAACGCCATCATATATATGGTTTGAATATGGGGTAGAAGCAGGAGTGGGACTCAGTGATCCTTGTGAGTGCCTTCTAATTCACTGGAGATGCATCTCAATAGGTTAAGCTGACTTCATTTTCACGCCTCAAGATTTCCACAGCCAACTTCAGAATCACACATTATTAGATACAGCTTTTCCAAGAAGGACTGGCAAACATACTTAGAATCTCTTTAATCTGTATAAAGTAAGACCAAAACTAAACAAAATCACACAGTGCTGTGTGATCTTCCTCCACAACCAGGTCTCTCAAGTATTAACACAGCAATACAGCGTGTCATGGTTTTAAGACTTTTGTTATAGGTATTCCACATCATAACATCATGTAGTGCCTTGGGAATTTGGGAATTCAACTTGGGGAGTTAATGCTCCAGTTCTAATTCTGTTGATAGTTCTGAGTACCTGGTTCTGGGATATGTTGTTTTTCTCCTCTGAGAAGACTTCCACTGTTCCATTCCTGTGTTCTATTTAGTAGGAAAGATAAAATGTCTCACAAATTACAAGACTGCCCCTTCTTTCTCATCTCTACAGTGTGGGCTCCCTAGCCATCTCACCTTCAGTATTACAGTAAGACCTTCCACTTTTGGACACTCTCTCATTTTATTTGATTTATACAATTCCAATTATATTGTAATATATTGTGTATTCATGCGTTCTGCCATCATATTTAGTAAATCAGTTTTCTTCCTTAGCTCATTGCTGCTGTTTTGTTTTCAGGGCCACCTCCATCCCTTTTTCTTAACCCCCACTCTCTGTCTCAAGATGGGGGGGGGGTTGTGGGTCCCTCTGCCCCATTAGTCACAGAACCAGCCCAAAACCGGCCAAACTGTTGACACAGTGCAACTTGTTCTGCAAGCACAAGAACAAATGCAGCCACACCACTTGATTTCAGGTCTAATTGCATCTTTCTTACTACACCCTGCTTTCAAAGGATTGAAAAGAAAGTTCACAGTACTCTGGAATAGATGCAATTCAACAATTCTCTCTGTTCTTATCTTTTTTTAATAGACGCTCCTATGGGTACTGTATAGAATCTGATAAACAGCATCATAATGTAGTTAAAGAGGTAACTTTGCTGTCAGAACATAGCTTCCAAGCTGCCAGGCACAGGTTGTTCAGTGTCACTGGGAGGACTGTTTGGCAGTGCCCCAGGTCTGGAGCTAAGTGCGTGGGAAGAAAGCAGAGCTAATTTTCTGCAGCTTGACCTGCAACAAGTCCAACTGAGTCAAGTTTCTCATGTTTTAAAGGAAGTTACAAAGAATAAAGTGGAAAAACATTTTAAAAAAACAGAAGTTGAGTAACAGAAAATGAATATCTAAGTAGCAACTTGTTTTCTGCATTTGTCACTCTTCGGAGTATAGGAGTAAACGGCTATCAAATCTACTAGAGCCTTTGCTCTACGCTTCTTTTAAAGCATGAGCATTAGAATATCCTGAACTCAAGAAGACAAACCCACAGGCATCTTCAAGTCAACTCTTGGCTCCATCCAGGATCACCCAAAATTCCAACTCTTATTTTTAAGAGCATTATCCAAACACTTATTTCAGTAGGCTTAGTGCCAAGACGGGTTCCCTGAGAACCCGTTCCAGCGCCCAATCACTGTCTTGGTGAAGAACCTTTTCCTAAACCCCAACACGACTCTCCTGCGAGGCAGCTCCAACCAGTCCCTTAGGTCCTGCTGCTGTCGCAAGAGATCAGCACCTGCCTCTCCACTCTGTGTGAGATGGGGGCCTACAGCCTTGAGGTCTCCCATTAGTCTTCACTAAGCTGAAACAAACCAAGGGACCTGAGCAGCTCCTCACATATCTTACCCTCTAGACCCTTTCCTACCTTCATAGCCCTCTCTTAGATGTTCTCTAATAGTAGTTAAATACCTGTTCATTTTTCCTTAACTGGCGTTGCTATACCACTGAGGCATATGGTGATTCAATTTTCCATTATAGAGATTAAAATGATTAAATTATAATTATGTAACTGTTACTATCCCAGTGGCATATGCTAATGGTTGGGCATGTTAACATCTCCACAGCTTATTACTACATTTCTTTGAAATATAATTATTTTGAATTGCTTGATTGTGAAAAGAGCATAAAAGTTATTAAAATCATAAGCATATTTTGCATCTAAGGGATTTATGCATGCCAGTGCAGCCCAACTGCACTTACCAGAAATACACAGAAATTAATTATCTGAAGAATAAAAATCCACAGCATAAGACATATCACCTATAAACACTAATTTTTTTTTTTCCCATCTGAATTTCTAATAGCAGTTCTTTCTACCAGTACTAAGGTTACAGAAATTTTAAAACTTCACTGACATTTATCACATTCTTCTATGTTTCACGGAGCGAATAACATACAACACACATTTGGAAATCCCATTATCACAGTCAGGATTCCATGAGTATGTTATCTCCATATTGTACAAGTGTTTTTTGTGCTTAAAGGCAAAAGACAGGCTAAGGGAGGTGAAAGGAAAATTGAGTCAGAAGCTAGGTCTTAGGCTTCCCTGGTTCTACTAACTCAGCTTTGAACTATATAAAGGACAAGTGGGCCTCACCGCCACTGCGCACTGTTGACTTGGTTTAGCTGCTTAACATGAAACCTGCTGTATTACATTCCAGCAAAGCAGGAAAGTCTGCAAAACAGTAAGTGTAACTTCACAGCGTTATGCTCTTCAGAAAAAATATTGCAACATTTATCTATTAGGGAGATTTCTCTACCAGAAAAAATTCCAATCCACTACCTAGCCTTTTGCACCAAAAAGGTTCCAGGCATCATCTCATGCAATTCATCTTCAAAGCTATTAATAGATCATACCTGCAAAACGCTTTCTAGCTCACTTCTTTCCTTAAGAAGCAATTCATATTCATCCTTGTGTGTTCTGAGAATATCATCCTTTTCACTTGCAAGTCTTTGTTGTTGTTCTTTCCACTTCTGTTGAGCAATATGAAATGTTTTCTCAGTTTCTACCAGTCTCTGCTGAAGCTTTTCGTTGAACACTATTGTTTACAGAAAAAGAGAAAGAAAGATGACAAAAGTACTGCTAAGCACGCTCAGAAAAAAAATGTGAGTGTTGGTTCTTCTACGTATTGTGATACTCTCTGGAACATTACAACAAATATATCTAGCACAGGAGGGCACCACCTCCTCTATAAAAAGGAAAGAAGTTGAGGCTTGAGTAGCATCTTTCTCATAAGAATATAAGAATGCTTTTAGAGATTTTTATGAATTGAAGTTCTTCTCCTCTTGGATAAGACTAAAAACTTGAGCTAATTCTTTCAAGCGAGGCTCTGTAGAATAGAGGACTTAATTTCAGATTTCCACAATATTTGGTCAGTGTATTTCTACACTTCTAACTGATTTGAGTCTCTACTATTTAACTCTGAGTTCAGTTAAATGCGGTTAAAGACTATAAAGACTATGCACCCACCTAATGAAAGAATCCTCTACTCTGCCCTGGTGAGGCCACATTTAGAAAACTGTCCAGTTCTGGGCTCTCCAGTTCAAAAAAAGACAGAAATCTCCTAAAAGGAGTCCAGCGGAGGGCCAAGAAAAGATGATGAAAGGCGTGGACCATCCCCTGTATGAGGAAAGACTGAGTAACCCAGGTCTGCACAGCCTAGGGAAAAGATAACTTAGAGGGAATCTGATAAATGTTTATAAATAACTGAAGGGAGGAGGGAAACAAATGGATGAGGCCAGGCTCTTTTCAGTGGTACATAGTGATAGGATGAGGAGTTATGGCCTAAAACTTGAACATAGGAAGTTCCATAAAAACACACAGAAGCACTTCTTTACAGTAAGGGTGACGGAGCACTGGAAAAGGTTGCAAATAGAGATTGTGGAATCTCCTTCTATGGAGACATTCAAGACCTGTCAGGGTGCCTGTGTGACTTATTGCAGGTTACCTTCTTTAGCAGGAGGATTGGACTAGATGATTTCTTGACGTCCCTTCCAACCCCAATACTGTGATTTTATGACTATAGGAAAACCCGCTGAGTGAAGCCACAGTGGAGGCAAGGGATGCCATCCAGAGAGGGCAGGCTTGAGTGCAAGCCCTGCAAGCCCTATGAACTTCAAGAAGATTAAGTGCAAGATCCTGCATCTGGATCGTAGCAATACCAAGTACAAATACAGGCTGAGCAATGAGCAGATTTTTAGCAGCCCAGCAAAGAAAGAGTCGGGGCTACTGGTGGAGAAAAAAAATAAACATGAATCAACAATGTGCAGTAGCAGTCCAGAAACCCAGACATATTCTGGGCTGCGTCAAAAGCAGTATAGCTAGCAGATCAAGACAACATTTTGGCTTTCCACTCTGCTTTCAGGAATTGCTGCTTGCAGTACTGTGCTCAGCTCTGGGGCCCCTAACATAAGAAAGAAATAGATCTGTTGGAAGAGGTCCAGAAGAGAGACAAAATGACAATCAAAAGATTGGAGCACCTCCTCTCTTGAAAAGAGGATGAGTTGGACTTTGTTCAACATGAGAGAAGGCTTTGAGAAAACCTCACTACAACCTTCCAATATTGTCGTGATTTTACGATTTTTGGTTATCAGTATTCCACATCATAACATCATGTAGTGCACTGGGAGTTAAAGAGTTAATGCTCCAGTTCTGGGTACCTATCCCAGAAGAACAACTACATACCCCAGTCCCATACCTGGACTTTGCATTCAGAGAAGAGATGAAATCTCTGGTAGAGTCACAGGATCTGGCTCTCCTCCCTTCTATTTGCTCCAAATGCATGTCTTGCCTCAGCATTAGTGTCAGGTTTTCAGTTTTCGGACACTCTCTTTTAATTTATTAATTTTAATTCTAATTATATTGTATTATAGTGTGTTATCTTGCATTCTGGTATTAAGTAAACTAGTTATTTTCACCTCAGATCATTGCTGCTGTTTTGTTTTAGGCCCATCTATCTTTTTCCCTTAACCCTTTCTGGGGCTCAGATCCATGGCTCACTCCATCCGGTTAGTCACAGAACCAGGCCACACCAGCCCATAAACCATTGACAAGTATATAAATGGGACCTACAAGAAAGGTGGAGGACTCTTCATCAGAAAGAGTAGCAACAAGACAAGGGTACGAGTTACAAATGAAAAGAGAACAAATTTAAGATTAGACATCAGGAAGAAATTCTTCACTGTTCAGGTGGTGAGGCACTGGAATAAGTTGCCTAGAGAAGTTGTGCATGCCACGTTCTTTGTGGTGCTCAAAGCCAGACTGGATGGGCCTTTGGGCATCCTGGTCTCTGAAAGAAGTCCCCAACCACTGCAGGGCAGCTAGATCTAGGTGATCTTTTAAGTCCCTTCCAGCTCAAGCCATTCTGTGATTCTATAACCAAAGGCAAGGTAAGCCAGTGAGAAAATGCTTACCCTTTACAAGGAATCTCAGTGTTGCTCAAGTTCAGTCCAGTCAAAAGAAGCCTCAGAAAGAACAGGGAGAAAAAAAAAACAAAACAAAGGAGGAAATACTGACAAGGGCTATAGGACAGAAGGGCTCATTTGTGTCCAGTCCAAGCCAGATAAGGTCACATCTAAGCACTGAAGAGCTGTAGAATCATAGAACCACCAAGGTTGGAAAAGACCGCCAAGATCATCTAGTCCAACCATCCACCTATCACCCATAGTACTCACTAAATCATATCCTCAACACAATATCCAAAGGTTCCTTGAACACCTCCAAGGTTGGTTATTCCACCACCTCCCCGGGCAGCCCATTCCACTGCCTGACCACTCTTTCAGAAAAGCAGTATTTCCTAACTTCCAGCCTGAATCTCCCCTAGTGCAGCTTGAAGCCATTCCTCCTGGTCCTATCACCAGTTACAAGAGAGAAGAGGCCGACCCCCAGCTCACTACAACCTTCCTTCAGGTAGTTATAGACAGCAATAAGGTCTCCCCTGAGCCTTCTCCAGACTGACAAGCAGCTCCTTCAGCCACTCCTCATAATGCCTGTGCTCCTCACCCCTCACCAGCTTTGCCTTCTTTGCCTTGTTTGAACAGGCTTCAGGGCCTCGATGTCTTGCAGCGAGGGGCCCAAAACTGGACACAAGCGAGGAGCCAAAAACTGGAGATGCAACCTCACCAGAGCTGAGTACAGGAGGACAGAAGGCTTCAAATGGCAAAGAAAATAAGCAGAAAGTTACAGACAGCAGAGGAACTGAGAAACAACTTCATAACTATTGTACTTTTTTGGCAGCAATTGAAGAGGAAAAGAAAAAATCTGGGGAATTTCAAACAATTCAAACAGACTGCTAAGTATAGTTTCTTTCTGATGGTGAAAGAAACTAACACACTAACTTGCAAGAAAAATTCTGTGAAATCTCTTATCCCTGTTTTTGCCCTTCATTTCTCTCATCACAAAACAAAGCAGTCTGTTTTGTGAGGGGGAATCAGGGTGAGTACACTGTGATTCCTCCAGTGGCAGAATGGAATCCTATGGAATCCCTATGGAATCCTATCTCCCAGACCATGCCAGGACTTTGGGTGCCTCTCTTCAACTGTTCCATCCAGGTCCCTCACCCATCTCTCTCCTCCTGTTCTGGCTCTTTTTGTTTGTTTGTTTGCTTCCTCTTACGATTTACCACCCTTCCTGATCTATGTTTCTAGAGGTGCCACAGGCTCACTGATGGGCACACTGACACAGTGGGTGAGTGGGTTCACCTGATGTGGGGCTAACTACAACTGATCTCCTGAAAGGTTCAGCCATGGCCCCATGTCCACCACCCACTGCCAGTTACACAATGGAGCTGCCAATAAACACAGCTTTTTCTACATCACAGGGCACTACAGAATGAGATTTTAAGTATGTTTAAGTGTACAAACACCTACTACTCACATCTAAATCAGAATAGACTCAAAATTGGCATATAAACTAGCAAAATGGGCATCTAAAGATAGTCTCCTTTAAGTAAGAAAACAACAGTTCAGGCTTGAGATTCCCAAAGAATGTTTTGCTACATCTTTCATTCTCCAAAGGATTAAAAAATTCAGTTTTCCAATTATCTTAGAAACGCCTGGCACTTTCAAGCATTTCCAAGTTTCTAAGTCTCCTACAGAGACTTGGAAGACATGTTCTACATGAGAAGCAATCCGAGATCTTCACTGAAAAAAAATCTAAGATTCAAACTCAAATACACCTCCTCTACTAGATTATAAGGTATTATATTTACTTCAGTAACTAGACATTGACCTCCAAGTGAGGTAAGAAATTTCACATACACTGTTGAGAATAATCAAGGAAATAAGAGTTTCTGAATATAGACTAGCTACTAGACTGGTAGTAAGTGGCCGATTTTTATTTAGACGTTTTTTCCTGCTAGTCTGTGACTACTGTCATATTCCCACAGAATAGATTAACTTTGCACCATATACATGTTTCATTACCTATAAAAAATGAAGCAAGGAGGAAGAATGGGAACTAGACAAGAATGATGAAAATGATGCTTTTGAAGAGGTGAAATACAAAAGAAATGCTAGAAAAATAAGTTGTTGGAAATAGTACAAATGAACAGCAATATATATATATATATATATATATATATATACGTATCTAATTATGGGGAGGAAGAACTGCTCTACACTACTATCTAGTGTGGGTTAAATGTGGATTAACCATGATTAAAATACAAGGACAGCAGTTAAAAAGGGAACAACAGAATGCACGGAGGGAAAAGGAAAAAAAAAAAACAAAATGAAAGGCTTAGAAGTTTAACTCATGCATGAGCCATCAAGCATAAGACTTACAAAAACAGATGTCTAAGAGATGGGAAAGAGAGATCCAACAAAATGCAGCAATAAGTGGTGAACTTAATTAACCTACTGGAACTCAGTTCCCTTCTTGACCTGAAAGAGACTTTACCATTTTTCAGCATTTGCTTTTTTGAAACTTACCTTGCAGCTCTGCAAGCTTGTTTCTTGCATCACTTAACTCTTCTTCTACGGTATCTATTCTCAAACGGGCATCTTTTTTGGCAACTGCCAGTTCATATTCCAGCCTTTGTCGTATTGCCTCTCCTTTCTCAAATTCAGATCGTAATTTGACAATCTGGATTTCATAGTCACGCAGCTACAAAATAAATTTGTTTCAGAAAACTGGCAAGAATGCTCTCTTAAAGAAACAGCACATTACAAAAATACATCTAAGGAATATTTTAGAAAAAGAACTTCAACTGCATTTGCAGCTACTTACTCATTCGCTCATACCTGAACTTGAAATCTATTCTTGCAAAAGACAAAATTTGTGTAAATGAGTACTGATTATTCCTGTTGTTTTATATAGTCAAACTATTCATATTACCGGACTGAGTTCAGGTATTTCAAAAATATTCCTTCCATTTACCAAAACAATTCTACCATAAGAAAATAAAAGCTGTAATATTAGCATGTTCATGTACCTTATAGGCAAAAACTGCAGCGACTAGAACACTGTGTTCAACTAGTAAATTTATATTAACTTTCTCCAAATTTAACACTTGAAAGACAGTCTAGTATCCTTCATGATGACTATCAGACATCTAGTAACTGACAGGGATGCAGGATGAACAAAGTTTAGTCCAATATAATTATTCAGTAGTCAAGCAGAATACAGCTAAACTTAATAAATTAATAATGAAAAATCCTTTAAAAAGTAATTTCATCTCGATTAAGGAATGCAGTCCAGTCATCGCTACTGAAACCTGTGTCTAGAAAATAAAATCCAAGTTATTTCATTACAAGAACATGGAGAATAAATGCAGTCAGAACACCTACAGAGTTTGACTTCAATAACAGTGGTTGTAGCTAACTTGAGCACTTCCATTATCTGTGAACATCTGGCACAAAAGTATCCCAGGTAGTTCAACTGCTTGAAAAGTAACCCAACTTTGTGGTTCCAGTACAACATGACACAGCACATGAATTTTGTTGCACACACTAAGTTTACTCTGAATTTAAAAGGTTACTCTTCAAATTTTTTAACTCCTGGGACCCATTTTTACAGAACAGACCCACAACCAATGGGACAGCAGGGAAAGAATGCCACACAAGACCAACATACTGCAGGAGAGATAGCCACCATTTAATTTGTATGCAGACTCCAATAATGAACAGATGTAAAAAGCAAGTTTGGTGTAATGACTAGATTTTGCATCAAGAATGAATGAGTAACTGCACCAACCACCCATAGCAAACTCTAAGACTAGAACTGCTATCCAGAGAGGTAATTTCTCTGCACAAGCACAAGTCTAAAGCAGCACATCACCTGTCATATTGGCTTTAGCAAGAGTGGTAAGTATCCCAACAGCAAAAAGCCCAAATTGATTACTGATACATCTGTACTCAGTGCTCACCCTCCCTTATGTATGTGAGTGCAAAAAAATGGATACTCTGGATAAATTCTTAACACTTCAATACTAATTTGTCACAGCATTGTGAGGAAAAATCTTTAAGTTGGCATCTTCATTACGCTAAGTATTTCCCTACGCATGGAGTCTCCATTAAAGAGCTCTAAATTTTTGACAAATGTCATGATAGTTGTGCTTTTGCAACAAATTACGCAAAATTACAAATCTGAACTAAGATAAGACATTGGAAGACCATTAAAAGATATCCCATCTGGATGTGATGCACACACACAAAAATGCTGTACTAGATTTATGAATTCTGCAGAATTAAAACAATGCTCAAATATTATGGCAAAAAATATATATATATAAAAAATATATATTATATGTATATACACCACACACACGTAAAACTAAATACAGCCCTTTCATCAGGATAAACAAGCTATGATTTGTATCTACTTGTGCCATTGGGCAATTCTGTCTAACAAGACCCTGGTAGAGGCAAGTACTTTCCGTGAAGTGACTTCAACTATTAGCAATGACAGTGGAGCTGCTATCAGTCCCTATGAATAGCTGTAAGAGGTCTGTACTGTGACATCTTTGACACTGCTTTTCTTTTTTGGCTAATGACAGCATTTTTGACAGATCATGTAAGAAAATAATGAAACACATTTACATTTCTTTTAGGACTCAAATGAAAGAGAACAAAAAAACCTTACTTCTTGATTGTGTTTAATGATTATGTCTACTTTTTCTTCTTTGGCTTGACAGAGTTTCCTTTTCAGATCTTCAGCAATGTCCAACTCTGATGCACTGCTATTTTGTAGTGACTGTGACCCACTCTTGGCACTACATAAGCTGCAAAGCATGAATATTTCCAAAATGCATGAATAGTACTTACAAATGTTAACACTCCCTTCTTTAAATGGCTGATTTCACCTCTACACATCCTAACGACATCCTTACATTCATTCTGAGTGGCCTGTCCCTCTTTCCACAGGCGGTAGATTCTCTTTTTCTCCTGGAGCCTCAAGAATAGCTCCCTATTCATCCACGCCGTTCTTCTTGCCCAACGGCTCATTCTGCAGCTCAGGGGGACTGCCTGCTCCTGTGCCCTTAAGACTTCCTTCTTGAGAAGGAAGTTTTAAATAACTCTTAGCTGTGGCAGCAAGACGAAGTGGTAAATCAAGCAGGAAACAAAAGAGATCTGAATGCAGGGCACTTCCAGAAGCTGTGTAAGAGCTTGTTTGTGGACATCACATAAATGTCCAGAGACTTCTCCTTTGCAACCCCTTCCCCACAGCTGTATAAAAGATAGAAGAAAGCAAGCTAGATCATCTTATTCAGAGGTGAAATGACGACCAGCCTCAACAAAATACAGCTATAAAAAGGCCAGGTGTCAAAGGTAACAAAGTATAGACTAGAAAGGAAAAAAAATAATCTAGAGTGTCTCTTTGTCCACTCTCCCCAGCCTTCGAATCAGCAACAGGTATGGGAAGAATTTAAGATTTTGTTAAGTTTTGGGGTTGGAGAAGGCAGGAGTCAGGGTTTGCACCCACCAGCATTATTTTCCTTCTTAAAAACTGCTAATTATGTACTAATTGACCAGAGAAGTCAACAGAAATAAGCACAATGGAGAAAACTATGAAAAAAAAGTGTGGCTTTGTGTGATTTAATGTTATAAATACTGGAATCAGTAGAAGAAGAGCAAACACAAGAAGTAAGATACTGGGGACATTCCAGAAATTCTGTGTTGGCCTAGGATTTCATTAAAATGAAGGGGTGACTACTGAAAAAGAAGCAGTATATTCTTCTTTTGAACAGTATTTTCTGCATAACCTCTAAAGCTCACAATGGCATTACTGAGAAACTAATAATACGGAGCTGAAAACACTATTTTTGTTCTCAGCATAAAATCAAATTGAATCAGCTGTCTCAAAAAAAAAAAAAAAAAAAGATTGTTACATTAACCGTTTCATTTTTCTATCTGTCTGCTTGAATATCTGCAAATACAACAGAGATCGGCCTCCAGAAATCCCATTCTTGTGACATTTTATTTAACCTCCACAGAATCACGAGCATATGCAGCATATTACAGACATTTCATGCCACCTGTTGAGAAAGGGCTACAAGGATAATTAGGGGCCTGCAACATCTCCTGTACAAGGAAGAGAGACTTGAGACTGTTCAGACTCGAAAAGAGAAGGCTGAGAAGCGATCCCAACACAGTTTATAAATATCTTATGTGGGGGAGTCAAATCAATAGGGGTGGACTCAAGGAAGAACTTCTTTACTGTAAGAGTGACAAAGCACTGCAATGAGCTGCACAGAGAGGTTGTGGAATTTCCCCCTCTGGAGATATTTTAGACTGTCTGGACACTTTCCCATGCGACCTGCTATAGGGAACCCGCTTTTAGCAAGGGCAGGGTTGAACACAAATCTCAAGACGAGCCTTCCGACCTTTATAATTCTGTGAGAGTCTTCCTTCTATATTCACAGAATCACAGAATTGTAGGGGTTGGAAGGGACCTCTAGAGATCATCGAGTCCAACCCCACATGAAGTGCAGACGCGTTACAATATAAAGCTGAGGGAAGCTTAAATCAAAGACAAAAATCACACAAAATATCCCTAGGAAGTGTTACAGTATGTATGATTTGAACAAAAATTCAGAGAAAGCTTTTTATTTCTGCTGTCTTATATTAATAGTTCATTAATAACTGCTTTTGAACAAAAAAACATGTATTTTATCAACTACAACTTTTATGAAAGGCACTGCCTTTAGAAGTATTTTGAAGTTTCTTAGCAACAGAAGTGAAACAACTTTTGAGTTCTACCCTGTAAAGCGAACCTCTAACTCAGAAGCTTTAAGCTCATACTTATTTACTAAGCCAGCTAGTTACAGTGCACAAAGAACATGACAGAAAAAGGTTTTTCACCATCCTTCCATCTATATGTAGCAGAAAGCGTATAGAAACAGGGAGAATTTGTCTTACGTTCCACTTATCAATGCAATCCTCAAAATTCCCCTACCTGAGGAAGTGGTCCACAGTCTGACTGCCTATCTCAAGTTTATATTCAAGCATTTTTGTTCTTTCTTCCTATGTGTGAGTAAGACTTAAACCCAACCTCTTCAACCTCAGCTAATATAGAATCATTCTGGCATTTCATATCAGTGCCCCAGACACGAGACAGGAACTCCCTTTCTATGCAAGTTATGTCTTCTGCAATCAAAGAAGAATTCCTGTACATCAGATAGCCATTACAAATCTCTTTAGACAACTAAACCTCTTCATATAATGACTGTAATGGCACGACACAGCTTTAATGCATCATATCTGCTTCTTCTGACTTATACAGTCTCAGGGATCGAGAACGTTAACCACAGAAAGCTGAACCATAGTACCAGACTAAGACGACTCAGAAGTAAAACTCACCGTTTAGCTTCATGATCAACATGGCTGACTGGAGAAGACAAATTCATTATGTCAGTCATTATGTCAGTAGCTTTTTAAGTCTGTGAGGTCCTTGGAATTAAGATCATCTTCAACAACAATATTTTTTTTTTCTAAGTTTTAAGTTGAGAAGCTTCAAAGTTTCCTCTTTTCCATCAAATAAAGACATTAAAACCTGTAACACAGAGGCATAATTGTTTAGTTGGTTACATAAGCTGTCAAAACACTTTAATGAACAGCATTACTGCAGCACCATCTGAACAATTACCATCAATTGCAATTTGACAACTATTTTATTCAGTAAACATCTGCACTGTTAGTCCTCTGAGCCTGAGAGGTTTAGATTAAAACAAAATTGTAGAAAATCCACTATCAGTTTTCAGATAGATGCCAACACAAAATGTGTTGTCTGCACAGATTGTATCTGTCACCACAGCCTTCACTCTTAAGAGGATTGCAAACTTGATTTCTCTTCAAAATAATTCTAGGGGAGATTAACCTTGTATTTTGTTGGACTTTGTTTTGGAGATTTGCCCGTTTGCTTTTTACTTTCTTTTTTTTCTTTTAAGTCAATAATCAAGTGTCAGTGCAGAGAACGACACAACTCGCCTTCTATTTCATAGATCTGCTACTTCTTACTCAACAGTATTTCTCCTGCATGAGATGCATCAGCAATATCAGAGAGCACAAAGGAGGAGAACCAAACTCTTTACTATAAATTTCATAATTCAGCATCAGCTATAGGAAAAAAAAAACCAGTATCAATTGCATTTTTATGACACAGACTGTGTATACATATATCTATATCTACACACATATGCACACATGTGTATCTATCTATCTATCCATATATATATTTACTTCAGGCTGAGTAGCAAACATAATTTATGAGCTCCTTAAATCAGTTACGACGAGCACACAAGAGGAACACACAACATTCCGCACTCAGGTTAACGAGGCAAGGAACTCCGCAGCTCAGCTCCCCGGCACAAGGCACTCCTCCGTGGCTGCCCCCGCTAGCAGCACGCAGCGTTTCCCTGCTGACACGCGCGCCCGTACCGCAGCTCCAACAGGCCGTGGCCGACAGACCCTCACCGCGACGGACTCAAAGCCAACAAGAAACGCCCCAAAGGGTTCGGTCGAACGCGACCGCCACGCGAGATGTCCCGGGACCGTGGCCGCCGCCCGCTCTCCCGCCCGCCTCCAGGCCGGCCGCCGCCAAGCTGAACGCCAGCCCGGAGCAGCGCCGCACCGCAGAGAAGCCCCGTTCCGCCGTACCCGATCCGGCCCGCCCTAGCTCATCTCGTACCCTCGCACCTGTCCGGCCGCTCGGCGGTTAGAATCCGGTTAGAAGAACGCGGCCCCGCCCGCCCCGCGCGCCGGGACTCTCCGACTGCCGCTTCCTGTTGCTGCGGCTCCGCCCGAGTCTGGAACGCAGTGCGTGGAAACGCTGTGCCCGGGCAACGCCGGCGCGAGGCGGGAGGGAGCCGCGCATGCTCCCCCTCGAGCTCGCGTCCCCGCCGCCCTCAGGCGAGTCGGGCGCTGGCTGCGGCGCGTTTGTAGCGCCCGCTTCCCGCCGAGGCGGACTAACCTGAAATGGCAAAGTGATGCATATCTAAAGCACCTTCCTAGTTCCTTGCTCCCACAGTCTTAATGTGTTAACTTACAAGCTTGCTCTGGTAGCAAGGAATTAGAAGAGCGCTTTGGATATATATTATTTCCCTATTTATGTGACTTGAATTTCCACGGACCCGGGGAAGTCTGGGTCCCGCTAAGCAGGATTGTATTGGAGCTTTCCCATTCCTCAGTCCTCTTAACAGAATGTTGACCTGCATCTGAAGAAAACATGAATTCTATGAAAAATGTATCATGATGTCCACAGATTACCAGGCAATCTGAATGGAGTACATAACCCACAGAAGACCTGGTTAATCTTGAAAAACAGATAGTCCAAATATGGGCAGATTATTGGGAGAATACAGAGCGAAAGCTGTCACAGTGACCATTTTCCTCCCGTTTGTGTGGAACTTCCTGTGCTTCAGTTAATGCCTGCTGCCCCTGATTCTGTGTCGAAAAAAGCCTGGTCCCATCCTCTTGAAATCCTCCCTTCAGATACTTGTGTGTGTTGCTGACATCCACTCTCAGTCTTCTCCAGAGTCTTAGAATCACATAATCATTAAAGTGGAAAAAAACCTCTAAGATCATCTAGTCCAACCATCAGCCCATAACCACCACTCCCACTAAATCATCTTGCTGGGTGCTGATTCAGGTTGCAGCTTGACATTTCCTCCCAGCTTGTTGTCAACTTCCTGAGGGTGGACTCAATCTCTTTATCCGGCTTGTCAGTGAAGATATTAAGTGGGACTGGCCCTAGTACTAACCCCTGAGGATCACCACTAGTGACCAGTTGCCAGCTGGATTTAACTCAGTTCACCACCACTCTCTGGGCTTGACCATGCAGCCAGTTTTTCACCAGTGAACAGAAAACATGTCAAGCCATGAGCTACCAGCTTCTCCAGGAGAATGCTGTGGGAGACAGTCAGATGTTGAACAGGTCCAGGTCTCTCAGTATTTCCTCAGAAGAGAAATGATCTGGGAACCTGATTATCTTTGTGGCCTTTTGCTGGACTCTCTTCAGTAGTTCCCTGTCTTGAATGGACGAGCCCAGGAATAGACACAGTACTCCCGATATGGCCTCAGAACAAGTCACTGAAGAGGCAACATAGATCAGTGGATAGGGCATAGAATGGGCTCCCTCAATCTGCTGGCCACATTCTTTCTAAGAACATGACCGTCTTGGCTACCAGAGCAAACTGATCATTCATGGTCAACCTGTGTCCACCAGGACAACTAGGTCCTCCACAGAACTCCTTTTCATGATATTGTAGCAAACCACCAGATTGGTCAAGAATTATTTCCTCTTGGTGAATACATGATGACTGCTCCTGATAATTCTCTTTTCTTGCACTTGCTTGGAGATAGCATCCAAAATAAGTTGTTCCATCAACTTCCCAGGGATGGAGGTGGGGCTGACTGGCCTGTAGTTTCCCAGGTCCTTCTTGGTTTTTTAGAAGACTGGAATGACACTGGCTTTCCTCCAGTCCTCAGGCACCCCTCTTGTTCCCCATGACTATCAGAGATGATAGAGTGGAATCACTCCATCACTTTTGCTTACTCTATCAGTATGCATGTGTGCATCCTGTCAGGGCCCATAGATTTGTGTGTATCCAGTTTGCCTAGATAATCTCTGATCAGATCTTCTTCCACCAAGGGGAATTCTTTCTTTCCTCACACTCTCTTATCTCCAGAGTCTGGGGTTCCTGCAGGGCAGTCTTAGCAGTAAACACTGAAGAAAAAAAGGCATTCAGTAGCTCCACCTTCTTGGAATCCTGCATTACCAGGGCACTCACTTCATTCAGTGGCAGGCCCAGCTTTTCCCTAGTCTTTATTTTGACCTCCCTTACCAGATTTGATTTCATGTGGGCTGAAGCCTTCCTTGTTGCATTCCAGGTAGTCCTAGTACAGCACTCCTGTATTCCTTCCAAGTAGGCAGACTGTCTTTCCACAGTCCATAAACTTCCTTCTCCCACAATCACAGTCTAGAACATGTCACTGAAGAAACTACATAGACCAATGGATAGGGCACAGAATGGGCTTACAAACACAGTTATCCTCATTACAATTCTTATAGAAGGGATTCCATCGCTTTACTGTAGTCCATGTTAATCTTAAGTACCAGTGTAGATATCCATGAAGATGAGCTGTACAAGGTTCAGGCAGCTCTGCAGAGCTGTATAGGTGCCATGTTTCTTCGGTACTGGAAACACAGGACTGATCAGTTCCATCACCAGTACTGTCTGCTCTCTTAGCACTACAGAGAGCTGTGCAGTATTATCTATTCTGAAGATTTGGGTTGTATTTGTTCTGGTTACCCAGTCTCCAGATTTGGTGTGACTTTAACTCAGTCTGCTGGATCTAAGTGCTTGAAGTTCTGGAAGAAGGAAGAGAATAAATACATCAATATAGTTCTGACCTTAGCAGAACAGGGAGCAACAACTTGCTTCACTTGCAGGCCGGATGCCAGCCTGCTGCTTTGCAAAGCAGCAAACCGACACTTGCAGGAAATCATTTGGAAGCAATGTTTTAAACAGATGATTCAAACTACAAGCTCAAGAAATGCCACTGTTCACAGGAAGAACTGAACTGTTTTTCAACTCTGAAGCTTATTCATAGCTTGCAGTTATTTATCACCTACCAGGGTACTAAGTTCTTACTTCAGCAGGCAGCAGGTCTGGTGGAAGAGCCACAGATTCTATCTTTCAAAAGGAAACCATTTGCTAAAAATTGGTGATCCACTCTTCTTAAAGTCTAATAGCATCGGTATGGTATGCTACTATCTTCCAACACAGTATCTTCATTGCAAAATGCACATATTTTGTTGTTGTAAGTTGTTTTGAACAATTTGTCTGCAGTTTTCTGTTTACTCAACACACTGGTCTGTATTTGAAGTTTAGCTTCAGTCTATGTACTTAACAACGCACTAATGAGCCTGATCACTGGCAAAATATTGTGGATAATTTTTGTTTTGCTCTTAACACTGTATTCATTTTCTTTTTAAAAATGCAATGGTCTCAGTAGTCTCTTTTGAAGATCACCTTACTTATGATGAAGCCAGAATCACAGAATCCTAGGGTTTGGGAAGGACCTATTGGGGATCATCTAGTCCACCCCTGCTAAAGCAGGTTCCTTAGACACGTTTTGAATATCTCCAGAGGAGGAGATTGCACAGCTTGTTTCAGTGTTCTGTCACCATCAGAGTCAAAAAGTTCTTTCTCACATTCAAGTCATCTTGAATTGCTTTTTAATTAGGAAAAATCAAAATAATTTCGGCAGCCCATCTGTTATCCAAGATAAAATCACTGAATCACACAGAGGAAGGCTTCTGATTCCTCAGCATTGACATTTTCAGAAGACCCCTTCCAAAAGCTTAGAAAATTGGAATATCTAAAACAAATTCTGAAAACATTGCCTGAAAACTAAGATGTGAATTTGTTTAATTTGATATGGAAGATTAACATAATTATATGATTAAACAGAACAACGACTGAGCCAAGGGAATTTCTGCAGACTGTCAGCTCTTGCATAGCAAAATACTAATATATGCATTTATTTTTTCTTCAGTAGGTAGCCAACACTTTATAACTTAGGAAAAAAATAGTAAACTTTAACTACTGCTGAAATATGCATGAGCTCAAGCACCAAACCAAATAATTCTCTACCTACCAAGGCAGATGCAATTTTGCATCTGTACTTGTACCTTCAGCTGAACAATTCCAGATGTACAGCCTACCTTGTTTGTAAACAGCTGCTGCCCCATATGATAATCTATTTTCCCAGAGGAGGAGTTTCTCTGTCAGGTGTGTTGACTGCCTTCTATTTTCTGATAAACTCATGTCCAGCTCTGTGGGAACTTTGTATTTATGTCAGAGATACAAGCAGTCAAGAAAATCAACCAAATTTGACTCCTATAAGCCAATGGAAAACTGCGGTTTCTATCTGTTCAAATGAATAGGAGTGAAGTTTTACTGTTAACATTTATAATTGACCTTTCTGAATAAACCAGGAGAGCCTAGAATGCAGCAGGACTTCCTCCGTAGCAACTGCATTTGTCTTTTTTTTTTTTTTTTGGGGGGGGTCTCAATTGAGTTTCAGTAACAAAACTAAAAGCAGGATGACAGCTCTTCTCAAGAGGACTTCCCCTCCCACAACAGTGTGATGGGCAGAGCCTGCAGAAACCTAGCCTGTACAACTGTGCCTCAGGTCTTTTATCGAGAGTGGCACAAAATGGCTATGTCTGTCACTGATAGATAGCATAATCATGGGAAGATTGAAAAGTCATGGCATGTACTACCTGTTCCATGCAGCTCATTCCCCCAGCTCTGGCAGCCCATCAGCACCAACGTGCTGAACTGTGACTTTCTGAGTGTGACCACAAGGTATAGTCAAACGCACGTGTGAGCTGACGGATCTCCTAACTCTGAATACAGAGAAGGGCCAGACCCAACTAGACCGATAGTAAGGAAGAATCTATTTAATAAGCTGATTCAGCGGTGGCTGAAACGGTGTGAGAGGACCGTTTGGCGCTGACAGGCAAACAAGCCGGGTGTGGCCGGAGGAGGTTGCGGTGCATTGGGGAGAGCCGACAGCTCCGGACATGGCAGGCGAGGGCTGCGAACCGCCACGAAGCGGCGTGCCGTAAGGGCACTGCGCGGTGACAGACAAACACAAAAGACGTATTTGGGACAACCACGTTTCTATTACGCAGACGAGGATGGCGGTAATTAATTGCTCCTTTCTTGTGAAGGGGCGAAATTATCGGCCGGGCAGAGC